AATTCTGAAGTTTATAAATTGGATCGAATTTTTAACTAAAGAAAACTTTTCTCGTCCTTCCATGTTTCTAACTCACCCCTGAAGCAGCAGTGTAGAAAGCGGAAGTTTACCAAATTCTCAAATCTGATTACTACCACAAACATATGGAAGAATCAGGGTCTGCCAAGGTGTGGCATCATGCCTAAAGCGTGATCTTTGGTACCTGAGACCTAAAACTTCAAGAATAAGGGAAAATATTCCCGAATCTTAACCCTGCAGAATCTATTTCCGTCTCGATGGAATAGACCATTGGTTATGCACCTATCCGTGCCCCTACCAATGTTGTTAAGGAGTACCATTCTAATAGTCAATACGTGAGACTAATTTTTGCTCCACCAAACACCGTTGGAAAAGCAGAATTTTGACATAGATGGCCTTGTTGGTTGAATCCCCTTAGTAAACCATTTACTTTGTGAACATTTTTCCATGTTCTTGGCTTCAAGTTTGGTGTACGTTTTACTTATGGATAATCTTATTGATATTGTCCTCGAATATGAGTTGATTGAATCATGTTTCTCATATATGTGACCAATTCAATTAAACAAGTGATTAGGTATAAATGTGGGGAAGTTAGTTGTCTGGATGAATGCGTACTACGCACACTAACTTTACACCTAAATCACATCTCTAACAACAACTTCAGGTATATCCAACCTAATTAATAGCATTGGCACACTCCTCGTTGTATGAATGGTACTGCGTCACCATTTAAGGGACCTTAAATTCTCCCTAACGTTGAGTTTTTAAGAATATTAGAGATGACAATGATCATAAATGAAACCACTGAAGAAAATAAGGTGAAATACATTTGCACCACCTCCAAAAATGAGCCTGAAGCATTGATTTAGGGCCAATGGGTTGTCTCCCAACTGGGAACACACCACATATGGCCGGCTTGGAACTGGGTGATTAAGCAGTTTACTTGTTTTGGCGCGACCATTTGGGACACTTAGGTCGAACAATGATGCTACGACGCATCCCCTTACCCGAAGTAAGGATCTTGTACCTACAAGCACACTTTGCCAAGCCTGCTCATTAGGGAAATCGATTTTCTATATCATCCCTCGCAAAGATACGAAATCACCCCTTTTTCATAGTGGATTCAAGGGAATATATGTGGACTAATCCAACCAAAATGCGGACCATATAAATACTTATTGTTTTGGTTGATGAATCAACAAACTGGTCGCATGTTTGTCCACACACATTGTTGCTAAACATGCTGGCCGATTAAGGGCTCACCACCCTACTTATCCCTTAAGGTCTGGGAGACTGGATAATGCCAGAGAGTTTATATCAACGATTTTCAATAAAGTATTGCATGTATTTTGGGTTTATAATTGAACATTGAATTCCCATGTTCATCCTAAATAGCCTCACCTAGCGATCATAAAGTGCAATTTAAATGATCGCCCGGATTTTGGTAAACATACCAAGTTTTCGGTTTCTGCCTAAGGTTATGCAAGAGTACACAGTTATGTTGGTCCGCCTTAAGGTCCATTGCCACCTAACCTATATGATGTTACAGTTGGTTATTGGGTACGAACCTGACGATTTTCATATTTACACATTTGGGTGTGCATTCTATGTGCTAAGTTACGCCGCTGCAAAGTACCAACTTAGGTCCACAAAGAAGGATGTGAATCTTTGTCGATTATGATTCTCCTTCACACTAGCTCTTTTCGAGCCCTTGCACGGGATCTCTTTACCGCTCATTTACAGGTTGTCACTTTAATGAGACAGTCTTCCTGCCGTTAGGGGGAGATAAGAATGTCAATGTTTCTCGAGAACAGCACGAATTTGGGTGGACGTTGCCCATTATGTCTCATCTCGATCCCCGTACCGCACATGTATGATAAGTAAATGCGATGAATTCTAGCTTTCAGAATGTCACTCCAAACGTATTCCTCTGATCTAGCTAAAGTGGCGAGATCATATACTAGCTGCAAACGGGACGGGACGAAACGGAATGGGATGGGATGGAATGAGACGGAATGGAGAGGGAGCAAAGATGCCCTCGGATGGAAACAAGGAGGAAGAAGAAGGAGATGGAGAGGTTATAATTTTGTTTTCCACAAATGTGGAACGAGTCGTTTCAGAGGGTGAGGCCGAACAAAAATTCACCCAAAATTCATCTTGTGGAACAGCACGTTCCAATCGTTTTAGGCACACCAAAGGTGGGACGGAAAGCCTCGTCCCACTCTATTCCGTCCCGTCCCACGTACCAAACGGTACCTAATGGACGTCAAGTCAACATCCTTGGGGGGTGTGCCGCCCCTGTTGAAGGGTGTGCCGCCCCTTTTGGATAATTTGGACGCCCTTGTTGGACAGTCGAGTACACCGACGGATAGCCAATCAATCTGTCTTGGCCTAGAGCACAACAGATCATTCAGTTCGTAGGATTCACTTCCTTAGAAGAGGAAGATACAGCACAACAATGAATCTAAACTCGATTGTTGTCTTAAATCATTTCCATCTCATAAGATTAATCCGGATTACTCCCGAGACTTGAAGTTCTTGGTCTAGTATACTTGTTTAGGTGAGCTAAATGGAATTGAAATGAGATTATCATCAATGATGTTTTCACTTATATGGTAGCTACCGACATAAATGAAAAGTGACGATATTAAACCATGTTCCGTTGATTAAGTGACAACGTAGAATTGATTAGATAACTAAAGTTACAATCCATGTCAAATTCCTTACCAAGGTGTGTATTAGACCTGTCATTCCTACACTACCCAAGGTAACCCTGTTGTGTTACAAATGGGAAAGGAAGCATTATGAGATGAATGAAATAGTACGATATGATGCATGCCTTAATGCGCAAGGTTTCTCTCAAACGTCCTGTGATTGATAGCAACATTATGAAATGTCGTTAGTGTATTCTCCATGGGGATATAGATAGTGATTATTTAATCAGTCAGGGATATGAATTAGGCCCTTGCGTGTTAAACTATGAAGTCTTATTCCAAACTGCTAGAGTTACAGTTTATGTTGTTGACACGAATCTCACTAAGACTTTGGAAGAGCTTGAGAAAATTGCCTCGCACCTAAAGATGGAATTTAAGATGAAGGATCTTGGGAAACTCGTTTATGCCTTGACCTGAAGTTGAAGTATTGTTCTGACGGTATTTTGGTCTACCAGTCGACCTACACCCTGAAGGTGTCACCCTTAAGTATATCCTTGATCATCCACATGTTATATTCAAATGAGACCCTTGAAGAGGTTATGGAATTCGAAATTCCATATCTAAGTTCAACTTTGCGCTTCGTTGTACTTAGCTCATTGTATTTAGACAAGACATCTCATTTGCTATTGATCTTGGTAAAGATGCAGCACCGTGCCTACACGCATCCACTGAATTGGTATTAAAGACATACCCTGAAGGTACTACGAGGGAAAATCCCAACATATCTCAGGGGATCCAACCCCCCAGATCCTCAGAATGATGCTTGCCTTGTTTGTTATGTTGAGGCATGCAGGTTGCTTATCAAACCCGCACAAGGAAAAATCCCCAAATGGTTATGTCTTTACCATTAGAGATATCACAATATCTTGGAGGTCTATGATATGACCTTAGTTGCGAACTCTTCGAATTGTTCCAAGACTCACCTCACTTTACTACGCCACAAGTGAGACATGGTTAGGAGTTCTTGTTGAGCATATTCGAAGTACTTGTTGTATTTTTCATCCATCATTGAGTCTCAACGACGATCCATAAAGATTATGCCACATGTATCCATCCGACCAAGACATGATACCTCAACAAAGACAACACCAAGACATATTGCCTCCACATCTACATCAAGAAAGCATCAGGAGATTGAAATCATGCAAGCAGATCCTAGACAACCTTGCCGACCTCTACACAACGTCACTGCCAAAGTCAACCTTCCAGAAGCTTGTCCAAGGATGTGGTATGCTTAACTATTCATATGCAAATACTTGTAGTTCTTATTTGGAAGTTATGTCAAACTCAAAGGGGAGTATCCAAAAGTATACTCACTTGATCTTAATATACTCTTTTTCCCTACGATTAGGAGCATTTTTCCCACTGGATTTTTGTTACCTAACTAGGTTTTAACGAGGCACCCATCCTGGGCTGATCATACCCTTATGAGCTCTTCTACTTGCATCCAAAAGACGTATAGTTTTGACTTAAAGCAACTTCTCATTTTTATCCTTAGTCTATGGGTTTTCTCCCACCTTGGGTTTTACCATAGCGAGGTTTTGTGAGTTTTACCTTTTATGCATTCTTCCATTGATCTGAGACTCGCATTTTCTCATTGTGCCTACGACTTCATCAACTATATTTACTTCATCGCTGAAGACCTGATGCGCCATTTACTTGAGTATTTACACACTCAAGGGGGAGTGTTGCAGTCTTATTAGATTATGAATGTGATTGTGTAAATCCTAGTATATCTTGGAATATCTCTTATATTCCTATTAAGAATTGATTACCTATTAAATGTTGTAATCCTAAAGGGAAATGTTTTTACCTATCCTACTACTATAAATAAAGACACAATAGGATGGAATAGAACACACCCACATTTACACATCTCTTCTTCTCTGTTTATGCCGCACTCTCTCCCTCTGTCTATTACCTCCATAATTGTTTAGTAAATTATGTCTACAACAATATTATAAATATTTCTTAAAGCAAAACCATCTACTGTCATATTTACATAATTTTTTGTTTAATTTACTTCTTTTAATTACATGATTTACGGTGTGATCCGAAGTTGGAATTCTTTCTCTCTATTAATTGAAAGAAAGAAAAAAAAAAAAAAAAAAAACTTTTAAAAACACGTAGTATTGGAAAATTCCAAAAAGTACAGCGCCTGAAGTACACATTAAGGGATGGCAAATCGGTGATTATCCCAAACACCAAGACCATTTCGAGAGCACACCATATGGATTGACTCGATATTAAACCTAGTGAAAGACACCTGCAACAAACTACAATTCCCAAGCCAGCAACAAAAACTTTCGTCCTCCTGCTTCCCCTCCTCCACCTCCTCCTCCTCCTCCCAACTCTCTAAGATCTTTCTCACTTAATCATCATTAAGCTTTCTAATTAGTCAAGCTTAATCACAAAATTAAGATCATCATGACGAACCAGTTGGAGAGCTTGGTGGAGTCGATCAAATCGAAAGTTCGAGCGCTGAAGAAGAAGTCGAAGAAGCCGTACATAAAGATGGACAAAAGCTCCAGCGTCAAGGTCGAGATCCGCAGCAAAAAGGCCCGCAAGCTCATTGACAAAACCCTCCAGGCCGCCGACCGTCCCGGCAAGCGCCCCATTCCTTAATTTTTCCAGTTAATTAGTTAATCATTATATGATTTGAAATAAGTACATTTCTTCTGTTATGTACCATGTATTTGCTTTGTGTAAATCTATGAGGAAAAAAATGGGGTGGGAGAGATAGGTAGGCTGATTAGTCCTTGTTAAAAAAAAAAAAAAAAAAAAGATAACTGGTAGCAAGCCACGGTTATCTACCTTTCCGGATTTGGAGATGTTATTAGGAAATATTTGTTTTTTTTTTGTAATATTTTTGGTTTGGCTGCCGATTCTGTGTTTTGTAACCGTTTCGGATTGTCTTGGATTTGAAAGCAAACGAACAATGTTTGGTTTGGTTTATGGTTTTGTCATCTATTTTTCTTGTTGGGGATTAGATTGCTGTGGTTATTAGGGCTGGTTTGTTATTGCTGTGCTTTGAAAAAAAACTGCTGTGAGAATAAGCGGCTGTGAAATAAATCAGCAGAGTGTTTGGTAAACTTTTTTGTAAAAGTGCTTTTAGAAAGAAAAAAAACAGTCTGATAGTGGGTCTTTTCATTAAAGGAGCACTGTAGTTCTGTGTGCTTTGAAAAAAAAGCCAGTTTTCCAAAGCTACAAATTGCAGCTTCAGCTTTTTCCTTTAATTTCAGCTTATTCTCACAGCAGCTTCCAAAATAAGCCTTTTTTTTTTAAGTTTACCAAACACCAAAAACACTCCCAGCTTTTTTTCATATGAGCTTTTTTTAAAATCACCTCAACCCCAAACTGGGGCTTATTATTGACAGTTTCTGGTAAAATTTTCAAATTTTAATTGCTTTAAGGGGATTTGAGTGGTGCTCTAAAGGGGCATCGGAGTTGCTATATTTCTAAATCTTAAATAACGAGTGTATAATTTCTAATTTTCTATTGCATAAAATGTAAAGGTGACATTTTTAATGATTATTTACCTCCAAACCCACACCCATCAACACGCCTATCATGAAAATTTTATTTCTAAACCGTGTAATATAATTATATAAATCATAAAACCTAATAAAAAGGTAAATGTCTGTTTGGTACTCTATTTGAATCCAACTTTTTTAAATTCAAAAATAGTTTTCAAGTTTTAGGCTTTAAAAACTTGTTTGGTAGAACTATTTTAAAAAAACTAAACTCAAGACTAACTCAAAAATATAATCTATTATCTAAAAACATAAAAAATATTTTTTTAGAGTTTTTAAACTTAAATTCACTTTTTTCTTTTCTCTCCCTCCTCCTCTCTCACTTCAAATCTATCTCTCTCTCTTTTCTTCTTTTTCTCTCTTTTTTTTTTTTTTACCTTTTTCGTCTCTCCTTTAATCCACTCTCTTCATTCTCTGTGTTCTTTCTCTCACTCATTTCTCTCTATCTTGTTCGATCCTCTCTCTTCTTTCTATTTCATTTAATCATCTTTTACTTTCTTTCCTCATCTCTCCTCCTATTTATTCCTCTCCTGCGACCCCCTCTTTTTAGATCTCTTTGTCTAGTTTAAGTTGTAAGATTTAAAATTTTTAAATCACAAACCAATCAAGTTTTTGAGTCTTACAAGAAAATTATTTTCAAGAAATATTCTTAAAAAATATTTTGAGAAATAATATAAATTTTCAAATATGATATTGAACGGGCCCTAAATAATGTTTAAAAAAATGGCTTCAATGTTAAAATGGTCCCTGTATTTTAGTCATTGAGTCAATTTAGTCCCTGTGTTTTCAATTTGACCAAATTGAAAACACAAGGGCTATTGAACACAGGGACCACTTTAACATTTAAGCCAAAAATTTATAATTTATTATAAACTTATTTATAAAATTATTTATTTGATTTAAAATATTTAAACTAAAATAAAATTAAAAATCATGAGAAAAATTATTCTCCTCCCCACTCCCCAACCTCCTCTCTAACATATCCCCCTTCTCTTTTCTATGTCACAACCGTAATCACTTTTCATATTGGAAATTTTATCTCTTCTATGTGTTATTTCTCATTAATTTTCATTTTTCTGTAAAGAGAAGGGGTAAATATATCTCATATAATTTTTCTTATGAAATTTTTAAAAGATATTGAATGAAATGTTCTTAATTGGCTAACGTAGACAAACACGAGGACTAAATTAGCGAAATCGAAAACAAGGAAACTAAATTGGCCACATAACTAACACATGGATAATTTTGACATTTAGGCCTAAAAAATTCTACACAATTGTAACAGCAACCTACAATCAGTTCATCATTCCATGTCAAAAAATTTATTCAATAAAAAGGAAATACAAGAATTGTAGAACCAATAAAGAGTACTCACAAGCATAATATATTAATAGACATATGTAATTGGGTCAAACTCGGATATGGGATGGCAAAACCATCATCATATCCGACTCGGGATTTTTCAAAAATCTCGAAACCAGACCATACCCATTTATTGTCCCCCATAACTAACCCATTAGGGGCAAGTGTCCTCTTATACCCATACACGTGAGGCTTTTTGTCATCCCAAAAAATTATGTTAATAGAGTATCTCTAAAAGAAATGTTAAAAAGTCCAAATCAGCATTAACTGTCAAAGAAGACAACGACAATGTTTTATAACCGAAAAGGCAAAAAGTTAATTTGATGTGGCATGATATCGATTGACAACTATAACCTTTGCTACCAAAATTGACAGCAACTTTGATTATTAAATGTTTTTTTTACCATTTTTATTTATTTTTTCTCCAAAAACATTTATTATTGTTGCATTCTTGATTTAGTTAGGAATGTGATTGTGTAAATTCTAGGAAATCGTTATGGGATTCTACCATATCTTAACTTTTAGATAATATATTGTTTAAGTTGTAATAGTTATTGCATAAGGATTTTACATTTCCTACTACTATAAATAGAGGCAAAATGGGCTCTACAACATGCTATCAACACGCTCTCCTTGCTGTTGCACTTCCCTGTTAAATAGGCCCTACAACATGCTATCAACACGCTCTAGCCTGACGCTGACGCTAAGGAACTCAAGGTTCGTGGAGGATGTTCTTCTACAAATTCAAAGGCTCGATTTTATTTTCAGCCAATCAGGTTCTTCTAAAACACAAGTTTGATATTTTCTCTAACCTAATGCATAAAAACGTTCTCTATTATGCATTAACCCCCAGCTTATATTTTTGCTAAATACATATTTATTGTATGTTGTATATATTTGTCAATATATATGTTAATGCATATGCAATTTTATAATAGATATAATTATTGTGAGTCAAAGAAACAAAAGAAAATAGAAGCATTGTTGTGACATATGTGCTTATCAATAAGTGATTGTGTAAATCCTAAGTAGAGATAAAGTAGGAATCCTTTGGGATCTAAAAGATCTTTCCTAATAGACTTTGTATTACTTGGAGAGCAAGTTTCTCTCCTCCTTATTACTATAAATAAAGGCACAAGGACTGGGGAATTAACACACAATTCCTCAAGCCTATTCTCCAATCTTTCTCTCTTCCCTTGGCCACACCTCTCTATTAAATATAGGCCACAACACGTTATCAGCACGCTCTTCACGCTATGCTAGAGAGAATTTATTCGTCTTCAATCAAGGGAGTATGTTTAATTGATTAAATTTTGATTTTATTGAATTCATATACTTCTATTGATTCAATTTATTTATTTTTCTTATGTTGAACGTGATACAAGCTTTGGACATGGAAAGCTGAAATTGAAGCAATAATTTTCAGCATTAAACCAATTCATCAATATCGTCACGCAATCAGGTTCTTCTAAAACAACGGTTTTTAACTCGATATTTTTACAGCCTTGATAGCATGAACATTCACCATAATGCATGGCCCAACTTTACGTTTTTCGAATTTTAGATTCTACATAAATTGTGTATGCATTATAATCATAATCCTACCGAATTATGTGAATTGATATTGTGATATTACTATGAATTATTATATGTAATTGAATCTAATTGAATTTATAAAAAAATTAAATTAAAAAAAATAAAAATAAAAGCTAGGGTTTGTTGGAAATCCACCGAGACGCGGCACCAAAGCCGCTGAGCTCCCCTATGCACCGTGAGCCAAGAAGGCTTGCAACCGTTCGTTGAACCCAGAAACGTGAAGCCACATGGCGTTGTCCTTATCCTTCGACTCGGACCAGTGAACCACCGCCTCGACCACCAATTTGGTGTAGCCCAGGCTAACTCTGATGACCTGTAGTCATCGTCGATGGAGTTTGTGGCCAAGATTTCTTTGAAATCTCACCTAAAGTTCAAAATTTCGATTTCAATCCCATGGAGTTCTTTGTTTGGGGAGGTTTAGGCTATCCCTCAGCCACCAAACGATGGTTCTCACATGAACCACCGTCTCACGCACCACTTCCTGACCATAACATGACTGCCTGAAGCGACGGTGTCGGTCCTCAAATCTTGATGAACACCCAGCGTTGCTGGGATGTTTTTTGGTCCAAACCCGAGCCCTACTAGGCTCGCTCTCATTGCACATCACAAGCCCGTTTAGGCCTTGCTTGTTACAACCCGCAGCAAAACAATTTTTTTTTTGTTTTTTTTTTGGGCCTGTATGTAGTAGCATGCTGCCTTTCCATGCTTGGCCCACTTTACACAAGCCTGTGGGGCCATGGTGTCTCAGTGCACTGCAAAACACTAGATTAGCGCCTCTATATGGGCTCATGCTGATTTGGGCATGCAACCGCCTTTTTAATTTTTGTTCCAATTTTTCTTGGGCCACTCATTTTTCATTGCCTATTTTTTAGGCCTTATGGGTTTTTAAATTTTTCTCCCAACTTTTAATTTTGGCCCGAAGTCCAAATAATTAAATTATAAACTCTATACATATTTGCATATTTTCTTGTTGCATATTTTTGTATATTTTGCGTTTGTTTGCAGGTATTATGAACTTGAAGTTCATTTGTTTGCAGGTATTATGAACTTGAAGTTCATACTTCCGAACCCGAAGTTTCGGAAAAGTGCCATAGAAACCTGAAGTTTTTTAAAGAGCAACACTCATGTTGAGACTCAAAATTCTCCATGCTTAAATCTGTTTAAACCAAATCATGTCTTAGAACCTAAATGTTCTAGCTTTGATGTTTATGGAAATTTTATTTCGTAAAACACCAATCACATTCTTGTTTCCACCATTCAGCGTATTGTCGAACCGTAACAAGTTCAATTTCACTGATTTGGAAGTTTTGAATAAGAAACTACTTTATGTGGATACAAGACATGACACCCCACGTGACTACGACTAGTTGCGAAATCATTGTAGCTAGTTCTGGTGTGGAAGAGCTGAATAAGCCTCTGGAAGTATCTCACTCCCAAGGACTCCATGGCTCTTTGACTGGCTAT